TACACGACGTTCTACAAGTTTGACGGAAAGAGTTGGAGTATGTGAGAAAAAATGGAAGAGCCAAAATTTTTGTGTTGACGAATGTAGTGAAAGAATTCTGAAGAATACTAATGAAATAGTTATTTTCGCAACTCAACGCCAAAAGTGTTTTTATTTTATCTTAAAATATCAATATTTGTATGACATCAGTGTCTGAAGTGCGTTAGGAAGTTTTATTTGATTATCTGCAATGTAAAAATCCTTGTTAAAAATTAATTTCAAAATTTCTATTTAGAAACATGTGGGTACTTTTGGACCAGGTCCGAACAGGCATGAGCTGCTAGGTTAGTGTATATATAGTTAAGTTAGCTTAATTTCCTTTTGTACCATCCACTTTATAAAAATCTAATTTAGAAACAGATATAAACTAGCAGAACTTAAAACGTTTCAGCTGATTGAGTATTTCCATTTTGATTACTTAAGATACACCACGGATAATATTGTAGGTTCAGTAACGAATGAAAATACACTACTTAACCCATTTTAATAGTGTCTGGCAACACACACTCAACTAATAGCCGCACATGCGCACCAAGCAGTGTCTAGTAAAGCGGCGGAAGCCCGCAGTCGTGCGGTTCTCTGGCGCGATTTACCCGCGCCTCCCCTTTCTATTACAAACCGGTTGAACTATCGTGTCTACTTTACCCCACCGCCCCCAATTTTCCTAATTGATTCATACGGTACAGACGCGAGTGAACTTGTCCCATTGGGACGTACTTTTGTGGCCATGAAGTTTTTATAGCGGACATTACTTTTGGAGATGTGCTACTTGGTTTAGGTAAGTAAAAAACTTTTTCTACGTTAATTTCCCTATGATTTATTTTGGCCTTTTGTTTTTCTAAATTATTATTTTTTTAATTAATATTTTATATGGAATGGTATTGTAAGGAATTGTACACAGCTGATGAGTTTGGTATGGGGCTATATTATTTTGGTAGGTGCACCATGCTCGAAACATGCCTCCACTGCAAAGCTATGTAGGTGTGAGAATATTCGTGCAGTACTGTAGATAACCCAGTATGGTCTGAAACTGTTTTTTCTATAAAGCAAGAATCCGTTGATACAAAAAATTGAGGAAGCTTTAAAGCAGTCATCGTCAAGTAGACTTTGTGATTTTTATGAAAGTAATGAGTGAAAAAAATCTGGTAAGTTTGGAATTTACATTAGGTGATGCTTTGGCAGTTAAAATCATGGAAGTATTATCATTTTTATTTAAGGAAACCCTAGGTACAATTAGATCAGATAATAGATAATAAGAACAATAAGTTTAGATATCCTTCATACAGGGTGTAAGGGACAGCCCTCCGAATACTGAAAGCATTCAGACCATGAAACTGAACAAATTCCCATAGAAATAAATTTCAGGAAACGTAAATAAAATTTTGACTTCCCATAGTAAATGGAATGCAATGCAAATAGTTAGTTGATCGTGATTTTGTATGGGAAGTCGAAAAATTATTTTCGTTTCCTGAAATTTGTTTCTATGGCAAGTTGTTCAATTTCATGGTCTGAATGCACCTTATAGGTATTCGGAGACCTGTCTCTTACACCCCGTATTTAGTTTTTTCTCGTCTTACCACAGAAACCAGATATAAAAAATTTGGAGGTATTTAAAATTTTTCCTCATTGATATTCTCGTTGACTCTCATTACACTTTCGTTTTAAATGTATATCTTACTATTTATAATTTCAACCGCTTGGTAGCCGTATAACCTGTAACACAAGTAAAAAAATAGATAAGAACTTAGGTTGATGAATCTCTTCGATTGATGAATTGAGCTAGTAGGCATATTGCTTCTGTTTTTAAGTCACTCGCTCTATCAATCTTAAAAAACTGTTACACAAAGTTATTATAGCTATTAGCCCCACAAACACGCAGGCTTAGAGTATACATTTGCAAGATAGAGAGTGCGGGTATCGGTATAGGCGTAACCTGCGTAAGAAAAAGTTCTACCTATAGATATTCAAATACGTCAAATGCATGAAAATATAGACGATAGTCAATTCGCAATCATAGCGTCATGAAATGACATGACCATCCTAAGCGGGAGGCCAGGTTATGCTAGTCGTTATACTTAGATACCTACTACGCGACCAGCGTAACTTGGCCTCCCGCTTAGGCTGGTCATGAAACTATGATTTTGAATTGTCTATACAATAGTGTTGTCATTGTCGTTTTGCTACTGATAGACAAAGGTTGTGATCATACCTATGCCAACCGTACACACTTGGTAAGGCACACTCTAAAGCTTGCTTACATATACTCTGAGCATGCAGGTTTTCCGCTTGGGTCTTATCCGTCATAGTCAATTTGTCCACAACAGCGGGACAAAGCTGTTTTTCTTCAGGAAAATTATGTAACGGACCCCTTATCTTGGCAGTTCGAGGAAACTGAAACTTCTCATTTTTCATTCGCTTTCTTATGCTATTAATTTGACGACGTGGAGAAAAGTAGAAATTATTATACTCAATGGCCAGAAAGTCGTGGGTAATCTTAGGAGAAATAATCTTATTGAAACAAAATCTAATTAAGTACCTACACAGAAAATAAAGGAGAGGTAAATAAATATTAAGGAGTTGACTTAAAAGAAATACAAATAAACTTAAGTAACAAAGAAACAGAATAAATGCTATACTATACACCATAATACGTACTAATAGGTAAATAGATTTGGTACTACAAGTATGGAGTACGCGCGATAAGCCAACTTGCTCGTTTCGCGAACCGGCGCGATTCGCCAACTCGCTTTCTGCCGACTGGCGTGCTAGGCCTACTTACGCTATTCGCCGCTGTAATAAAGTTGTTCAGTTTTAAAAGTTATTTAGTTTCAAAAGTAGTCCAGAGCTGAAAGTTTAGTTTTATATGTTGCTTAGTTTAAAAGTTGTTTAGTTTTTATAAGCTACATTTAGGCCGGCTTAGAATAGCATCACCCCAATTCTACCCGTGGGTGTCGTAAAAAGTGACTAAGGATAATCGTCCTGGGAATGGGCAAAGTGACATCTGTCAGACAAGCGATCATCGATAACGGCTAACGATCGCTAGTCTGACAGATGTCATGTTGCGCGTCGCATCACACGTCTATTTTGTGGAGCTTGCCCCGTAGAGACAAATCTACATTATTTGAGACGCGCGACGCGCTTCACATCGAAGACGGTCATTTGTCTGACAGATGCCATCCCAAGCGTCACGACGCACGTCTTCTCTGTGGAGCTTGCGCCTTAACTTTTTCTATAAAAAGTCATTTAAAAAAGTTGTTCATTGTTATGTCTATCCCTAGTATTCAAAATTTCATATCAAACCATATTACGTTCTCGTATTGAATTTTCTCGTGTGATTAATAGCAGTCACTTTCATATTTTAATACAGATCCATGAACTATTATTATGTTTACTGTACATTATGACAGTTTGCTAACCGCGCAGTCGGCGAATGGAGTAAGTACGCCTAACGCGCCAGTCGGCAGAAAGCGAGTTGGCGAATCGCGCCGGTTTGCGAAACGAGCAAGTCGGCGAACTGATTCCAGACCACAAGTATTCATTAACATATAGAATTAGCTCAAGTGTTATAAATAAAATGAATAATTATTATCATCAAAGCAAGAGCAACGTACGATATGAAAATGTACTTTTTATTGATTCGGTGTTTATAATGTTCTGGTATTAAAATAGCCAAGCCACGGAAATAATAATCACAATAAGTGCTCTTGAGAAACATTTCACTGAATCGATATCACCTAAAGAACCTCTATACCTAGAAGAAACCAATTCATATGCATAGATATCAATTTACTCTTCCCTTCTTCTTCTTCTTTTCGTATGGGACACCGAATCGTTCAACGACCCGATGAACCCTGGTGTCAGAGTTTTTCAACCGCCTACTGCAAGTAGCAGGCCTCTGACATGGTTGTGTAACGACCGCCATCATAGACTGCAACACGGAACCATCTTACTTGCAGACAATCAGGTGGTTCAGCCTGCAATGTCCTAACCAGACTGGGAACAAATTCACAAAGTGATAAATATAAACTTTGTGAGTGACCCCACCGGGAATTGAACCCCGAACCTTTGCGTAGCAGGCAGGCATACTAACCACTGCGCCACATCGGCTGTTCTTCCCTAAATAACATCGATAGAAGAAAAATCTATGGATATCAATTTACCTACTCCTCGACTACCGGCACTAAGTAACGCAGTATTTTTGCTCTCTTTGCCTTTTCGCAAGTACTAGGGTACTGGTTGCCGCGTTGCAATACTCTTTTTAGGATTCCGTACATAAAACAGCATGTCATTGTTTTTGATTACCTATTTACGAGTACCTACATGAACGGAAAATGTTCACTTTATTTAATGAATGAACGGTTACAAGGTTGATACAAGAAAATACTAAATTAACTGAACAAATAATATAACGTGCTTAGGCAAACAAGCTTATGAGTTAGCTCTTACGTGAATACATATAACAATTTTCAGAAATCTCACTCTCACTCTTGAGTCTCAGAGATAGAGATAAGAAGTTATAATATGGTCTATATTAGCTCGTACCCTGGTAAAAGTAAAAAGGCTTAGATCCTATACCTAAACAAAAGATTTGAATACCAAATTTTTAAAACACTTCTCGTGGGTATGCAATTTTTGGAAAACTTGCTAAATATTCCACTGTTGGCAGGATTTATATCTGCTACCTTCTGAATCTGTGCTGCTAACGTCAATACCAACTGGGCTACCATGACGGTTCTAATCTAGCCTGCGAAAACAAAAGATATCAACAAAAATATTTTTTGCTAACGCGTGGATGGGCTCCATTAACCGGGATAGTTTTTGCAACTAATTCCCAGCGACTAATTATTTTTTTGCAGATTGAATGAAGTCAAAGCGATGAAAACCCGCGATGTATTGAATACCAAAATTTTAAAACACTTCTCGTGTTAGGTATACAATATTTGGAAATTTGCAAAATTTACCACCGTAGGCAGGATTTGAACCTGCGACCTTCTGCATCTGTACTGCCGACGCCACCACCAACTGGGCTACCAAGGTTCTAATCTAGCCTGCAAAAACTAAAGATATCCACAAAAATATTTTTTATTGCCCTTTCTCCTAGAATAGAAAATCAGATGATTTATTAGTAACTAAGTACTAATTGTCAACCAATTTTAAATTTATTGGCGAAGAATCCCTAAATAATAAATAGTCTATTTTATGTAGTTCTTGGTTTACAAGTCAAACCAACCCTTATTCTACGTAAACTTTAAATCTCGACGGAACCTTTGTGTACGAGTGTGTGTTACGCTCTACTTTCTTTTTTGTTTGTGTGGCATGTATAGCTAGTTTTTTTGCTTTCCCGGGTGTTTGCTGTGCTGGCTAATGTGCAAGGAAAACATAACAAAGAGTCTCAAAAAGAACCCCATATTTGCAGTAGCTGCTTTTTTCCAAGTTCATTATTACAGAAAATGAAACACACACCTACTTGTTTTTCTATTATTCAGTATACGAAGTGTAAATTACAGTCCTACGAATACTGATACGGCGAATGAAGACTATGAAACTGAACAAATATCTATACATATAATAAAGTTGTAGAGGGTCGAAAGTCTGTACATAGAAGATTTTCGAAAAAAACTGTTTGGTGATACTTAAAATTGATAACAGAACACGTTTCAGCAATTTTTAGATTTTTTTTCTGTTTATCTGTTTATTTGTTTATCTGTTTGTATGTGAAAGCATCACGCAAAAACGACTGAACCGATTTTGATGCAAATTATACCAAAATGTCGGGAAAATTACCGACCAGGTTATAGGCTAAAAAAATTCGACCCCTAAAAGGGGGGGTTGCCACTATACTTGAAATAAGTTTGCACGTAAATCGATATTGCGTGCGTTGCGTGCGGTAGAGGAATAAGTTACTATAAGATGTAAAAAAAACTATTCTAAGGGGTGAACCAGTCCATGAAACTGAACAACATTACCCAAGGAACATAGGTCGAATAATGAAAAAAAAAATCCTTCCCTTCCCTACAAATTTAACTTGGTCGGCTATCGAGACGGCTGGAGCATTTTGTATGGGAGGTCCAATTATTTTTTCCTACAGTAGGTAAAAAAATAACTGCACGTATTTTACGACTAAACCAGTCCATGAAACTGAACAACTTTTCCTAAGAAACATAGGTCGAAATACGAATAAAAATTTGGCCCTCCCATTCAAACTGAACCGGCGGCCGGCCAGAACATTTTGTATAGGAGGTCCAAATTCTTTTTTCATATTTCGACCTATGTTCCCTGGGGAAAGTTGTTCAGTTTCATGGACTGGTTCACTCCTTAAAATATTTGCAGTAATTTTTTTTACTCCTTATGCAGGGTGTTAGAGACGGTGTGACGAAAACTTTGCTGGCATGATCAGACCATCAAACTGAACAACTTTTACTATGGAGCCAATGGTGGGAAACGAAAAAAATTTTTCAACCTCCCATACAAAGTCAGTCAGCTGATCGTAAATTTTGTATGGGAGGTCAGAAATTTTTTTTCGTTTTCCACCATTGGCTCCATAGTGAAAGTTATCCAGTTTGATAGTCTAAGCACGCCTGAAAAGTTTTCATTACACCGTCCCTAACACCCCGTATTTTGAACTACCTTATGTTTCTTGGGGAAAGTTGTTTTCATCCTATCTATTCGAAAAGAACGCGCCGCAAAGTTCTTTTATTTGCACTTTTTAAATAAAGAACTCAACAAATGCGAATAAAACTACTTTGAATTTAGAACATCTTGATGTTCAGTCAGCGCCAAAGAAATAGAACGCAAATATTGTTCGAATAAAGGCTGTATGGGACGACGGCCCATAGTCGCGCGTCCCCAATAGAACTAAAAAAAAGATACGCGCGAATTACAGTCCGTAATTTTCACCAAAAATTACACGTATGTTAGAATTTTATTTAACTTTTTGAAAAATTAGTTCAAGTGACAGTGAAAGTATAACATTGCAATAAAATATGAGGCGCCTTTTATTTTCTCATAGAGGGTTATGAAAAGTAGAGTGAATTACTCAGGCGCAAAATATATTTTGGCTTCGGGGATTCTACTCTAGAATCCCTTACTTCGCTCTGAATTAAAAAAAGCGCCCTCGCCGTAGAAGTGTTGTTTTGCGCCCTTATGATGTCTACTAAAAGTTTCTTGAACTGGTTCACCCCTTACAATATTTGCAGTTTTTTTTTTACTCCCATATCGGAGTCGAGATTCGAACACGTACCAACATAATAGTAAAGCAAAATAAAAAACCAGCCAAGAGCGTGGCAGACACGCCCACAAATAGGGTTTGTAGTCAGTGTTAAATATCAGCGTTACGAAGTTACCTAATTTTGTTGCTGGTTTGTTTGCAGTAGTAAGTAGGTATGCTTACGAACCACAATTTAAAAAGCTTTTATTTTTCTTAAAACTTGCGTGGATACAGTATCCGATATAGTTTTTATGGTAACTTCAGACTAAGAACTAACTTTTTTTTCAAATATTTAGTTCTAGGAAGAGAAAACTCCCCATACAAGCAAATACTTCGAGGCAGAATCACTTTTGTGATTTTTTTCTAAAAAAAATTCACCTTTATTTTTAAAGATCTATTTAACGATACCCTACTTAATATAGCAGATGGTTTTTTTATCCTCTTTTCACATGTACCTACGCCAAAAAATAAAAACATTTTTTTCCCAACATTCTAAATTTGTGTGAAGCAACACGATCTATCTTCACATCAAAGATGTCGATCGATTGAAAAGGACGAAGTCATGAGGGCGGGGCATACAGTTAGTTTGTGTCTTAAATGGGTAGGTGGATTTGCTGGCGATAGTACAGAAATCTGTATGTACATGTATTAAAACTGTTACAGGTCGGTGTCAAGTACCCCTGCAATAGTTTTCAAAAGAACATTTCGATTGCGTGTCTTAGAAACAGCTACAAAAAAATATGTACAGCTTGATGGGCCGCTCCTGCAGGCCTATCACTTTTGGTAGGTAGGTACCTAAATAAATAAAAAGTATACATACCTATTACCTACACAACTATTTAATATAAGAAAACAAAAACAGAAGTGAAATAAGTAGGTAGAAGAAATATAAAGAAACAAGCATCCTTCGACATGGGTCAACTCGGATTTGCTCCTTCACATAAAAATAATAAAAGAACACCGGTGTTGGTACTGTAGCCAACTACCTATATCATCAAGATGTACCTAACTCAGGCGCTCAGACTTTGTAACAGGAGGGATCGAAGTGGGCTTTCCCCTTCAAAGTCAAGTAACAAACTCACATCGGCGGTAGTCTGGGGTTTCTCCAGGTTATTCCATCATCATCGTCATCACCATTATCTTTGCATGCCCTAATCGTACAAATCACGCATAAAATAATAACCATGAGACAAACATCGAAAATGAAAACGTACCATTATGTGTAAAAATTGTGCATGAATCACTCAAAAATTAAGCGATGTTTTTAGATGTTTGGTATGGTGGAAGATAAACGTTCTGATCATATTTTATGATTAGTGAGAACCTTTATCAGCACTGGAGGTACTCTCTGTCTACCTACGTGACGGAACAACATGAACTCGGCAAAATATTAAAGGGCGCCACACACCGGGCCCGTATGCGTGACGTGCACGTTATCACGCGCATAGAGATGACGTGTATCGTCTGGGATTGTATGAGGCACCGCACACCGTGCTACTCGCGTGATTACGTGCACGCATACATAGGCAGGCCTCTCATACAATCCCATACGATACAACGTCATCTCTACGCGCGTGATGACGTGCACGTCAAGGAAAATGTCTGTATTGAAAAATTTGTTTAGCATGACGTGCTGCTTCTGTCGGCTCAAAAACTTCTCTTAGCGAAACGAAGTTCGCGGGCACCAGCTAGTCCCCAAGATATATGTGTTAGGAAACGATGACTAATCTATTTCTGTGCAATGTAATGAGTAATGACTATAAATAAGTGATATTTTTATGTCCTATTTTGAATAATGAAAAATGAATAAACATTTTTGACTTTGACTTGACTTGAAATTATTGGCCGTACAGTCAGCTTTAACCAGCTTTTGGTCGTACAAAACTTGTGACGTTTTCTGAAATTACAATGTTTTAAAGGAATGTTCATGGTCTTCATGTTACATAACATAACTGTATCTAATCAAAGAATATAATAAAATAATATAAGCTACAATTTTCTGTCGTAGGGCATGATGTTTCCTGTCTATAATTAATTTATAATATTTACATTCATTTAAATAGCACCTGCTTGGACGGAGTACAGGCCACAGCATATATGCTTACCTATTAGTAGGTGCTAGGGTACCATAACTGTGACTAAATGTATGTAGGTACACTTTTCATGAAGTAAATTGACCATGAATTTGTAAAAAGCTGAACGAGCTCCAACGTGACACGTATTCATGAGCTGCTAGGCATTGATGATGAATAACTTTGATAAAGTATTATGGATACGATGTTGGTCCCTTTGTATCAACAATCCAATTCTTTTTACATACTGACTACTCGATTATGTAAAGTTGTTCAGTTTCATGAGTACATTGACCTCTTTTTGGATTGTTATTTATTATTACCCTTTTTTGTTACACACGGTATTTAAAAAACACCCTTAATTACTAATCATTGTGATGAAAATCTTCAAAGTTAACTTTTTGACTGGGGCTACATGTAACATCTACGCTAACGTATGCGTCTTACATTTGCATACACATTCCTAATTCGCCATACTAAAAACTGAGGTTAAAATAACATTACGCAAAAGCTTTCGTTGCAACACGTGTATAATTCCAAACGTATAGTCAAAATGTGTAGGTAACTGTAATCTCCGAAGGTAACTAAAAAAATAATATTTCATTATAGGAGTATGACTGTTCGGTATATTCGATTTGTCATAAAATACCGCACCCGAAACTCGAATAGAAAACGCATTAGAAGAAATCCATTAGCCGGAGTGTCCCTATGTCACGGTGACTTGGACATAAAACGTGTGCTATATTATAAATGACATG